TACTGGACCCAACTATGCAACATCCCCACTATGCCGCGACCCCACTGTGCTGGGTTTTTTTATAGAAAATAGCCATTTATTACTTTATATTATAAAATTAAATATCAAATTCAAATATTCACAGAGATTATAGTGAACTAGATAATACCCAATCAACATTCTAATATGTATATTGTAAAATACAATTTCCAGATATTTTCTAGAATTGAGTACACTTTTTTTTTTTTGCTCAAAAATTTAAATGAATGACATATTTCCAATTAAAATGCATACTATCGTCTTAAATCTCCTTTTTAATGTCTCCTGAATAAATTTGCAGTCGTGATTTCATTATATTTTTTAATTGAAGAAAACATGATCAAATTAATAAAGCCCTATTTTATGAAACAATAGATTATTATAAATAAAAAATTGAATTATTATCATAATAGTCAATTGTAATTTTAATTATCACCAAATAAAAATGAATGACAGATAGAAAAACGGTAGCACTTTATAGACGTGGCATAGTTGGGACAAGTATAGATTTAATCTGACAGTGATAAAATCACTGTCATAAGAAACGCTTAAATGCAAATCTGTAGATAGTGTTTAATTCTTAGAAATTGGAGGATTATTCCAAAAGCAAAATGAACTCCTATTTTCTTATTTATATCCTAATTACAAATGTTATGATATGTAAGTGTAATATATGAATAAATATTTGATAAATTTGTTCAACTTCGACGGCCTTTTGTACGTAGAAACTAAGTCGCCGTCACAAATTTCTTTTTAACTTATAATACGTAACATAAGCCTTATTTTAACATGTGTTTAAAGGACGCAGTATTTCTGGAACATTTTCAAAAGTTAAATAAAAAAAATTCTACTTTTTATAGGTATGTTTATATCAAATAAAAGGAAAATATCTATGGTTTCAATATAAAAAATAATTTTTTTTATTTGTTTATTTTTCAATAAGTTATGGAAAATTTAGAAAAAAAATTACCGATTTTTAATATTGTAATTTTTTTGGATAATTCCAATTTTCGTTTGGTTGGAATTGTATCTCCATTTCCGGAGAACGAAAACATTTTTCAATTTTTGAGGATAATGTCTTCGACTAGATACTAATTATAATCAAATTTTATAATTCGCTCAATTGAGTAGATCTTTTTAACAACTTTGTTTTGATTGGTTCTTTTAGTTTAAGTAAATCATTAAAATTAATTCAGTTCTTCATATTTCAATTGTAGAATCTTTTTAAACTTCAAAAGTTAATTAGTAATGATTATTATAATTTCTATTTAAGTGATCTATTAGAATAAAAATGTAAAAAAATCAAGCTTTTCTAATAAATTTACTGTAAAAAGTAATTATAAATTTTCCTGACTACATATTAATTTTAACAATACAATTCTTTCTATTTAATGATGGCAATTTCAAAGTTGCAAGTTGAGCTAAAGGTTATGGTTAAATTAATTTTTTTTTTTATTATAAACTTTTACTTTAAAGGACAAAAAAAAGTTGGTTAAAGATGATTAATTCTAACATATTAAAAATCAAATTAAATAATAATTTGAAAACAATTAATTATAAAAATTATATACAATATTTTTGAATCTAAGAATTACTTATCTGGATTCCATTAAGGAAATAGAAGTTGATGTTGATTTTGTAATTCTCCAATATCTTAGAGTTAAACACTATCTACCGATTTGCATCGAAGCGTTTCTTATGATAGTGATTTTAATCACTGTCAGATTAAATCTATACTGGACCCAACTATGTTACGTCCCCACAGTAATGGATTTTTTTATTCTATAATATTGTATTGCTTCTATATATATTTATTATGTATATTCTTATTCTTCTTTTTCCTCGCCTTAATCCCAACTATTTAAAAAAACAAATTTCTATCTCATATTTGTAAAATTTTGAGTATCTTGACACTATTTTCTAATATTTAATTGGATCAACTTCAACTATGTAATCTAAAACTACATAAAAAATAATAACAATTTAATTATCTTTATTGTGTATATATAATATCATGATAATAATAATATTTTTTAAATCTTAAATAACAGAAACTTTAATTTTTCGCAATGCTCCTGTAAAAAAGGTAGCATTGAGGGATTTACAATTCCTGGTGATGGGGGGTTTTTTTTTATTAAGACTGATTTTATACTCAAATTTCAGACAATAGAACTTTTATCAGAATGTTATTGCATATTATACTGGGAAAAAATAATATCTATTATCCTTTAATCAATATGCTTACAATATATTAATTATCGATTATAGTTATCATTGTTTGTATTATTTGTAAACTATTATCGATGAATATATCTCGTTTCTACATGAGTATTTGACATTTGTTCTATAAAAAACAATTTTATGTTGTTTGTATGAGTTAATAAAACGTGCATTATAACGACTAAATAATCATTATTTAATTTGTATGTTTTAGTTCATACATTAAAAAATGACATAACTCTATATGCACACGAATGAATGGTCTTGGAAAGGTCGAGCGCAATATTTTTAAGTTGATTTTAACTTCTAAAAAAAAGTTGTGAACCCTCTAAAAAATATTCTGGATTTGCTCATAATGTACATTTTTTCTATTAATTTATTTTTACTTTATATATTAATTGAAGAGAATTAAGTTGGGACACTAAAAAATATCTATGAATAATGTTTTTCATTTCTTTCCTTTTATTTAAATTTATTAAAAAGAACAATGAAAAATTACGAGAAAGAATAAGCTATTTTCTGTGAGGTATACCTGAATTTAATTTTTAATTTACTTAAATCGTTACCAAGACATTTTTATGAAATATTAGGCCACAAGTAATAAAAATATTTACTAATACATAATTATACTTTATTTTTAGTATTAAATTTAGTTATGTCGTAATTATTATAAACTGGTTACTGATTCAGTTTAATTTATCAATTCTCTATTATTTCTATTGTTTTATCAACTACGCGTAACTAAAAATTTGCATGCAATTTAATTTCCAGTAGAATATAAGTCATGAAACAAATTAATTATATATGTCGTCATATTCAGGACTGGTCTAAAATGGGAGAGGTTGTGAAAACCCTGAGATCCACAAGCTCAAAAGTCCTATCTTTAATTTTACTAGTCTTTATTAGTAATAAGTTTATCAGGTTTTTTTTTTTTTGCTCATCACTTTTTTTATTAGCGATAAATTCATAAGGTAGAAACTAACAAAAATTTTTAGAATTATAAGAATTTATCACTTATGGCTAATATTATTTAAAATTAAAAATATATTAAATTACTAATATAAAACTAAAAAATATTAACATTAATAACTAAAAAATCACCAAAAAATCCCATATATGTATTTTGCATAAAAATAGGATTTGCTTAGTCATTACAGTGAAATTTTTAATATTAATAACTTATGACTTAGGTACGAAAAATTGATTCCAAAAAATACAAAAATGTATAAAAACCTACATAAAAATAACGAACTATAGTGAAATTTTTATTAAAATATATATTAAAAATTATTTGTATACAATTTATTACTTTACTATTTTTACTATTTTTTTCAGATATTGCCTAGTAGAACTCCAGTAGTCAGAAAGTTAGTAAATAGCTCTTGTATCTTGAACCATGATAGTTGTAGCACGGTGCAGACAATAGAGAAAAAATATTATGCCCACAACTAAGTGTGATAATACTACATCTCGTGGACACTAGTAAAAATTAATACGACAATACTCTTAGTTCGCATATGAATGAATATAATAATACTTTTAACAAAATA